TTCTGATGCTTATTGGTATCAGTACCCAGGAAATATAAGGCTTCCCAGGTGGACTGCAAAAGGTTGGTTTTCATTCCAAAGAAGGGTAATGCCAAAGAATGTTCAAACTACTGCACAATTGCAGTCATCTCACACTAGCAAAGTAGTGCTCAAAATCCTTCAATCTAGGCTTCAACAGTATGTGAACTGAGAACTTCCAGATGTATAAGCTGGATTTAGAAAAGGCAGAGGAACCAGAGATCAAATTGCCAGCATCTGTTGGATCATAGAAAAAGCAAGAGAATTCCAGAAAAACATCTACTTCTGCTTCATTGACGATGCTAAAGCCTTTGACTGTGGGTATCACAACAAACTATGGAAAATTCTTCAAGAGATGGGAATACCAGATGGGAATACCACCTTATCTGACTCCTGAGAAATCTGTATGCAGGTCAAGAAGCAACAGAACCAGACATGAAACAACAGACTGGTTCAATATTGGGGAAAGAGTATGTCAAGGTTGTATATTGTCACCCTGCTTATTTAACTTATATGCAGAGTATATCATGTGAAATGCCAAACTGGATGAAGCACACGCTGAAATCAAGGTTGCTGGGAGAAATATCAATAACCTCAGATATGCAGATGACACCACCCTTATGGCAGAAAGTGAAGAGGAGCTAAAGAGTCTCTTGATAAAAGTGAAAGAGGAGAGTAAAAAAGCTGGCTTAAAACTCAACATTCAGAAAACTAAGATCATGGCATCTGGTCCTATCATTTCATGGAAAATAGATGGGGAAATGATGAAAACAGTGAGAAACTTTATTTTCTTGGGCTCCAAAACCACTGCAGATTGTGACTGCAGCCATGAAATTAAAAGACGCTTGCTCCTTGGAATAAAAGCTATGACCAGCCTAGACAGCATATTAAAAAGCAGAGACATTACTTTGCCAACAAAGGTCCATCTAGTCAAAGCTGTGGTTTTTTCAGTAGTCATGTATGGAGGTGAGAGTTGGACCATAAAGAAAGCTGAGTGCTGAAGAACTGATGCTTTTGAACTGTGGTGTCGGAGAAGACTCTTGAGAGTCCTTTGGACAGCAAGGAGATCAAACCAGTCAATCATAAAGAAAATCAGCCCTGAATATTCATTGGAAGGACTGATGCTGAAGCTGAAGCTCCAATACTTTGGCCATCTGATACGAAGAACTGACTCATTAGAAAAGACCCTGATGTTGGGAAAGATTGAGGGTAGGAGGAGAAGGGGCCGACAGAGGATGAGATGGTTGGATGGCATCACCGACTCAATGAACATCAATTTGAGAAAACTCCAGGAGATGGTGAAGGACAGGGAGGCCTGGCGTGCTGCAGTCCACGCAGCATGAGTGGACTCGTGAGTCCACTCACGAGTGGCAAAGAGTTGGACATGACTGAGCGACTGAACAACAACGGTGGCTCAGTGATAACAAATCCACGTGCATTGCAGGAGACGCAGGTTTGATCTCTGGGTCTGAAAGATTCCCTAGAGAAGGAAATGGTAACCCACCCCTGTGTTCTTGCCTGGGAAGTCCCATGGACAGGGTAGCCTGGTGGGCTCCTTTCCATGGGGTCACAAAGAGTTGGGCACAATTTAGCAATTTAAAACAACAATGCAGGAAATATACAGTCTAAGACAGGAGAGACATGGGTTTAATATTTACTAACATTTTCCCTTACCTACCACCTGTTTTTTTTTTAAAGCATTAGATCCAAAGTCTTTGGACCTTGCTGCTTTGCATGACTGGATTAGGTTGCATATGAGAATTTTGCAAAGGAAAAAAAAAATTCATCACACCAATTTACATCTCAATTTCTGTTCCTCTCAAAAGCCTCAAAGTCCCTCAGCAATAATCATGTTCAAGGCAAAGAAATTAAGAAGTTTAGCTGGGAAGATATTAAATGAGTCTCTGAAATGTAGTAAAAGGCATATCCAAAGGTCTATCCTTTCCCTAGACTTTTTTCTGGCCCTGCCACAGGAGAGCAAGTACTGGAAGGGAGGCTTCCTCTTGGATAATGAGAGAAGATTTATGCAAATTGTGTTGCAAATTGCTGTGTGGTACTTTGGATTCGTCATTTTCTAGGTGAGGTCATGTTCCTGTGCACAGAGGTGTGTACAAAGTATCACCCGTGATAACAACAAAAACCTACAATATGGAGTTTATAAGGCACAGAATCCCTCAGTAATAAAAATCATCAAGGCCCAAATAACCCAGGGGTTCTCCTTAGCTCCTTTCATCAGTGTTCCAGAGAAGGTCTGCTGTGTTCCTTCTTTCCCATCTCTTAGGAATCTCTGTGATAATGAGAGGTTGGGAAAGGAAAGTGATGGATGAATATGAGTGGGTTATTAGAGTTCAACAACAACTCAGGAAATACACAGTCTTGGACTGCAAGGAGATCAGACCAGTCCATCCCAAAGGAAATCAGTCCTGAATATTCATTGGAAGGACTGATGCTGAAGCTGAAGCTCCAATACTCTGGCCATCTGCTGCGAAGAGCCGACTCATTAGAAAAAAACCCTGATGCTGGGAAAGATTGAAGGCAGGAGGAGAAGGGGACGACAGAGGACAAGATGGTTGGATGACATCACTGACTCAATGGACATGAGTTTGAGCAAGTTCTGGGAGATGGTGAAGGGCAGGGAGGCCTGGCATGCTGCCGTCCATGGGGGTCACAAAGAGTCAGACACGACTGAGCGACTGAACAACACTGAGTGACTGAACAACAACAGCGACAACATTAGAGCTCAGGGTTGTTGTATATTTTATTTTGGCCATGCCTTGCACCATGCAGGATCTTAGTTTCCCTTCCAGGAATGAAACTCATAGCCCCTGCAGTGGGAACACGGAGTGTTAACCACTAGACTGCCAGGGAAATCACGCAAGGTTGTTGAATTAAAAAGAGGAGTCTGGTTGAGAAAGAATCAATCAGCCCATTCTGATTTACAGTGATTCTGAAGGAATCCAAATCCAGATAGAGAATCCAGAAAGAGGAGGATTTTGTTTGATTGTTTAAATAGAGCAGTAAGAGGAGGAAAGGTTTCTCAATGCTATCTGCAGATTTATTGCTTGGAGAAGAAAGCCTCCAATCAAAGACAGGAAGCTCCTCTTATCAGAGAGGGTATCTGTCTTCACTGAAGCCTCAAACAAGGCTTTGCCTGCCTGGTGGACATGACTAGATGGTCGTCATCCCCATTTTCAAGTCAAAATTCTTTTTCTTTTTAAGTCACATGACTTTATATTTTTTACTTCAGGTTCTTTTTAAATCATTCTTTTTCATTTATTTTTTAAATTACGAAAATATGATAACACATTTAAAGGAGACTTGGAAAATACAGAAAAAAGTTACATATAGTTCCACTATATATTACAGTTGTTTGTTTTTAGTGGATAAATTAATATTTTTAGTAGGATTTTCAATATAAAACTCTCAGAAATTAATAGAATGAATTTTGACTTACATTCATTCTATTAAGTCAAAATTCTTAATATGACATCCATGAACACCCCCAAAGAGGGCTGTGAATGCCCTAAAAATATCTGCAAAACTTTAAACCTAAAATATTTTTAAGTGACCTGTGATGTCCAAAAATATTAAGGTAAAACACCACGTAAAAAAGAGAAGGAAAGGGACTTCCCTGGTGGTCCAGTGGTTAAGACTCCATGTTTTCAATGCAGGGGGCATGGGTTCAATCTCTGGTCAGGGAAGCTCCACATGCCATGCAGTGTGGAAAAAAAAATTGAAAGTTATCACATATCCAGTAATATGCTGGTGAGGTTTGGGAAACAGGGATTTTTTGCACTATTGGTGGAAACAAAAATTGGATCATCTCTAGAAGGCAGTTTGGCCTTTAGAAATATGCAGAACTTTTGACCTAATTATTTCCACTTCTAGAAATATATCTTAAGGAAGCAGAAAGAGATGCATAAAAGCATTTATAATTAAGGGTGTTCATCTTGGCATGAAAAACGAGAAACAAACTCAATGTCCAACAATCAGCATTTATTAAATATTGTGCTCCATCTATCATGGAACCAGTATAGCAATAAAAATCATAGTATAAAAAGATACGGAATGATGTGGTTATGTGCTCATAATGTATTAAGTAAAAATACAAATCGGGTAACAAAACAGTATTACATATGAGGCCTTCTAAAGGATGGTGGTGGTTTAGTTGCTCTTTGCGACCCTGTAGACTGTAGCCTTCCAGGCTTCTCTGTCCAAGGGATTTCCCAGGCAAGAATACTAGTGTGGGTTGCCATTCCTTCTCCAGGGAATTTTCCAAACCCAGCAATGGAACCCAGGTCTCCTGCATTGCAGGCAGATTCTTTACCTGGGGAAGGACTGTCCACTGCCCACCCCTAGGACACACACTGTTGGGCGGGGCATACTTCTGTCAACACTTGGAAGTAGAAGTGAGGGAAGGGAAGCTGGGACTGCTGCTGGTCCGGACAGCACCCAAGGACTGTGGGCGGTGCCACGGCGGCACCCAGCCAGTGGCCAGGCCAAGCCCCAACCCGCCCTTCGCAGAGCCTTCAGTATAAGAATCGGATGAAACATGGGTGAGGCTTTCAAGATTCCAAGCGAAGGCGAGCGCATCCTGACCTGCTTCCTGGAAGGCTGGTGGTTTGTGGTTCAGTGCACCTCCCGAGGAGCAGGGCAGCCTGAGGCCAAGTGAGAACAAGTGTGGGAGTGAGTCACTGGAGTGAGAAAGAAAAGTGCAGTGATCAAGACAGACTTAAGTTGAAAGAGGGTGTAGGAGTTGACAGCAATGGGGGCGGAGATACTCAGACTTCAGCTAACTTTGAAGGAGAACCAGCTTTTCCAGCAGAGAACTGGACTTTTCGAGGTCTTAGGTAGCCCCCAACTGACACAGAGCTGTGGTTTAAAAACAAAAAAAAGAACCCACAAAATTTTTTTTTTTACTTTTTACTAACTGGAGTATAGTTGATTCACAATGTTGTGTTCATTTTAGGTGTTCAGCAGTGATTCAGTTATTCATATACCTGTATCTCTTCTCTTTAAAATGCTTCTCCTATTTATGTTGTTATATAATACGAAGCAGAGTTCCCTGTGCAATACAGGAGGTCCCTGTTGGTTATTCATTTTATACATAGTAGTGTGTACATGTCAATCCCAAACTCCCCAACCATCCCTCACCTCTACCCTTCCCCGCATAACCGTAAGTTCGTATTCTAAGTCTGTAAGTCGGTTTCGGAAAAACCTACTAGTTTAGACTGTAAGAAAATACCCAGTCTGAAGAATATATTCATTGTGACTTTGTAATATTGCAAAACCTCGAACATTATTCTTCACAGCCATGTACCAAAGTAAACTAGCATTGGCATGGTCCCCAGATTAAAAAAAAAAAAAGAGTCAACTGAAGCAGTAAAGCTGAATTTCCCCAGCTTAACCATTTTCAAAGGGGACGCTACAGAAACTACACGGTTGATTTTCTGCTCAAGTGAAGTTCCCAATCCTAAACTCTGAACTTTCATGTGACAATATTTTTTTTTTTTTCTGCAAAAGCTGAAACTGATTTGGTAGAAAGTGCACAGGACTTAGGAGAACTACCACCTAGCCAGCTCTATAGTGATCCAACTGGCACTCAAGTTTGAGTTTTAGCCCCACATCCGAGAACGGGGACTCACCTCTTGAGCCACAGTTTCCTTGTCTGTAAAGTGGAGAAGGTCACTCCTCCAGACTTCTACGAGCACCTAGTATACGTCAAACGCTGGGCACTAGCGACATGAGAGAGCCTGGTTCCTGTCCTCACAGGGAGGGAAAAACGACAGCCACAGTCCGTCCTTGAATGCTGCAAGTTAGAAAATGGTTTTTACATTATTGAACTAGTGAAAAACCCAAAAAAGCATATTTTGCAACCTGTGAAGAATTATGTAAAATTCCAGTTTTAGTGTCCACAAGTAAAATGTTGCGGCACAGTCGCATTTGTTAGTTGATATAGCGTCTGTGGTTGCATCTGTGCCCTTACGGCAGAATGGACCCATCGTAACCAAGACTATATAGCCCACGAATCTGAAAGTATTTGCTATCTGGCTCTTTATAGAAAAAAATTTGCTGACCCGTGGACCAAAGGAAGAAAAACAAGGTAATTACAGACTTAGACAAGCTCTAGGAAATTAAAAAGGGCAGGGGGTGGAATTTTTCAAGGCTGTTATGAAGTTGAAGATGAAAGCGCGCTATGGCTCTATGTAGCGCTTTGTTATCTCCCGTATCTGGAGGGTTTCCAGGTCCCCCGGGCTCTGGGAACCAACCCAGTGAAACTAACCAGAGCCCTGGCTCCACCTCCACCGACTGGGTGGGGGCTCTCCCGCCCCACTCAAGTCCCGCCTGTGTTCCCAGAGTCTGGGAAGCAGACTCGGGTGCTCTCAGGCTGCCCTCTGGGAACACACCTGTACTCTTGCCAAGGGTACTGTCTGCACTACTTGCCAAAGGTGACGGGGCAACACCGAGATGCTTTGCCACACAGGCACAGGAGGAAGATGGGCACCCACCATTTAGTGTCCGTGGGAGCTGGGGCCTCTGTCTGCCTGAGGCTCTTGTGAAAATGCCTCCTTTGATCCCTTCCTTCTGCTCCTCCCACTGGCCCTGGAGATAAGGCCAGAGACTAGTACCGCCTTGTCTGTGAAAGACTCTCCCACCTTCCTCTCCCCATATGTGTCCTCCCCACTCCCCTTCCTCCCCATGCAAATGGCTCAAACAGACCATGTACTTTGGTTCTGTAATCTGCCAGATAACCTGTATGGTGTACAGATGTCATTTCCTAGTCCATCTCCCAGGTTGCCACTCAGCCGCTTGTCTTTGCCACCACAGCTCCCTTGCACACAAACACACAGCCAAGTATTTGTTTCAAATCAACAAAACATTGGCTGGAACTTGGAGGCCAGCAGTCCAGGAGCCCAGGGGACCCCCCAGTCTCCCTAGACAGGGGCCTCATCACAGCCTACGTAGGCGGCAGCTGCCTTGGGTTGCCTGTGGGGCACAGTGGCCTGCCCTGATCATCAGGTTGTGGTCCTGACATCCTGCCTGGCTATAGCCTGCCCCTGGCTCATGAGCTGAACCACGAAACTCCTCACCTCCTAGTCCCACCTGCCGAGGCTCTGACAGGGACCACCTGCTGGGAAGGGCCCAGTGCCTCAGCACTTCACCAGTGGAGACTCATCATAACCTCTACCAGGCTATGCCCGGGCTTCCCAGGCCTACTGAACCTTGCACACTACAAGTCCAGGATGGGTGGTACATCATCATTCATCCCCGCCGCCGCCGCCCACCCCAGTTTTTAAAAAGCATCTTCAATTACCCTCTTTAATCCAGAAACTCTCCCTGGCTGGCATGAGACTGGGAGTTGGACACAGAACAACCCTACTGTTCCAGTGGGTTAACTCTGGTCTTTTCTAGGCTGGCCTCTTTCCCTCAACCTAGAGGGTCCTGTGCCTCCAAGGTCCCAGCCTGACTTGGGGCTGGACCCTGTGAACTATGTATGACTGCAGCTGGGGTCATGGCTTGGTTCCAAGCTCTAGCAGAGCAGGACAAAAGACAGGGAGAACGGTGGAAAAGGCAACTGTTAACACACATCACACTGGCCCTGGGTGGGCTCAGAAACTGAAGTAGGCCCATTCTCGTGAGAAAAAGGCAGTTGGTGACCCAGGAAGTGGGAAAGACTGAGAGTGGGCAAGGGGTGACAGACCAGCCCTGCTCCCTTCCGCAGGAGCTAGTGGTGAGTGGCATTTTTTTGTTTTTTATTTTATTTCTTTTATTACTATTATTATTTGGCTGCACCGTGAGGCTTACAGGATCGTAGTTCCCTGGCCAGGAATTGAACCCACTTCCCCTGCTGTGGAAGCATGAGCCCTAACCACAGAACCACCAAAGAATTCCCCACATTTCTGTCCCTTTAAGCAGGCAGGAAAGCAAAGACAAATGTGCACATGCAAGTCCCAAGCAATTAGCCAAATCTCCCTGGCTTCTCCTCTGTCGTCTCTGACCCTCCTAATCCAGGATGTGATCCTATTAAGTAGATTAAAGGTGACTGGGACCACGTAAGGTAGGCTGTAGCTCTAGAACCCGTTCTGCAAGATTATGTGCTCATTTTAATTCACTTAGCAAACCTGGACTTGTTCACTCAGATCTCTGATTCTCCAAGACAAAGTGTGAATTGATGCAAAATTTTATGAGGAGTTTAAAATTTATGGCACTCTCTGTCCCTACAGCCATGCCCTTAAAAAGCAAGCTCCTAGCCGCTGGTATCAGGCATGTCTCAGGAAAACTTCTTTCATTAGGTGGGAAGTTGGATAGATGACTTCCAAGGTCCCTTCCTAACCCTAAGCTTTTCTGACTCTAAGGTCCATGGACACCAAATTGTAGGACAAGAAAAGCCATCTAACAACCAGGGTTGAAAAAAAAGACCTGACAACGTGTTTTACCCAGGGCAAGGCGAACCCAAACATTTCAAACGAGAGCTGTCTACAAAGAATGTGTTTGCAAACCAGACAGAATTTAAAATAAACTTCAGCCAGCGAACGATAAACCTTCCCTAAAAAGGAAATCAGATGGTGAGTGACCAAACTTTGGAAGTGGCATTAGGAAAGTTTTCTGCACCATTCCAAATGCTCTCACACTTGAACCCCAAATGGATCAGTGTACTGGTTTGGGGGAGGAGTCAAAAACTGAAAAGTTAGGATAAATAAAGCACCTTTTATAGCAGGCAGCCTTGGGGAAGCTCCAAGAAATGGAGCTCTGAAAAGGAAAGCAAAACAGGCTAAATCTTGAGGATTGCAGTGCAAAAACAAAACCAGTATAAAGTGAGCAAGCTGTGGGCTCATGAACTGCAAAGGACAGCATGACACACCTCTGCCCAGGGCGTGGGGGGTGTGAGAGGGCGGCGGCTACCTTCCTCCTTTCTCCCTGATACCTTTCCAGACAATCAAGGCACCACAGTTCTCCTTCCTTTGAGGCACACACCATTCAGCCTCGTACCTTTTATTGGCATTGGGGGAGTGGGAAAGCTTTGGTTTCGACTACATTTTTTATTTTTCTCCTTTGTGTTAAGTATTTCATACTTACAAAAAAGTGTGTGTAACATATACGCACAGTTTAAAGAAAATAAAAAGCCAAGCACCACATACACAACACCCAATGTAAGCAATCAAATATTGCCAATACACTGAAATCTCCTCTGTGCTCCCCCTTCCCCACCGTCTCCCTCTCCCTTCCCACCCGCAGGTCAGCCACTGACCTAACACATGTGCTGCCCACTCCTTTGCTCTTCTTTACAGTTTCAGTCCACTTGTTATACAGCCCTAACCACTGTATTCTTTAGTAGTTCCTGGTTTTGAACTTCCTACAGTGAATCCATACTGTCATCATCTCAATCTGCTTTTTATGCTCAATAGACGTTTTGAAATCCATCCATGTTGATGTGTGTAGTGGCAGTTTATTCATCTTCTCTGCTGTGTAGAATTCTACACCATGATTACTTCTGTATTCTATCATTTGTGGACATCTGGATTGTTTGCTTTCTTGGTTTTTATAAACAAAGCTATTATGAGCATTCTTCTCCGTGTCTCCTGTAGAATGTGTTTGCCTGCTAAGGCACTTCAGTCATGTTCGACTCTGTGCAACCCCATGGACTGTAGCCCGCCAGGCTCCTCTGTCCATGGGGATTCTCCAGGCAAGAATACTGGAGTGGGTTACCATGCCCTGCTCCAGGGGATCTTCCCAACCCAGGGATCAAGTCTGAATCTCTTATGCCTCCTGCATTGGCAGTCAGGTTCTTTACCACCAGTGCCACCTGGGAAGCCCCTCCTATAGAACACATGCCAGAATTTCCTAGAGCAGAGCTACTTGGAGAGCGGTCCTGCAGACCCACTGCTGGTGCTGCCTTTGAGCTGCTTCAGTCGTGTCCGACTCCTGTGACCCTATGGACCAGAGCCTGCCAGGCTCCTCTGTCCATGGGATTTTCCAGCCAAGACTGCTGGAGCTGTAGACCCACTGCTGGTGCTCAAACTGCCTCCCCTTTACAATAAGATAAGGGACTTCCTCCAGCGCAGGAAGTCAGGCAACTACATTATAGTTCAACTGGCATTTTTCATAGTAGGACTCCGTTGGGAAGAAGCAATTAATTTCCATTTTGACACAAGCTCCCTATTTCTTCCTACCTCTGGCATTTTGCAGAGCACTTGGTACCCTCAGCCTTTTTTCTCCATCTTCATCTACCAACCTCCAGGTCATCACTCTCTAATCAGTAAAGACTCCGACACCTCACTCACCTCTCAATTTTGCTCAATAAAAATGAATGAAAAGATGGATGAGCCGATTGCCCTTCCCCACCCACACAACTACCTCAGGGGCGTCTATATTCTTCATGAACCCCACTTCCCCAGTTAATTTGTCCAGGGGCTGGGGAGGCCCATGACATACAAGCTGGAAGAGTCAAAGTCCTTCCTAGCATTTTCATCTTGGAACCAAAAAATGGGGTCAGGATATCTCCAGTGCAGAAGCTAAACTGTCATTCGCCAGGGCTGTGGGCCACCCTCGTCACCACACGGGGTGGAAGCTGGTCTGTGGTGACAGAGGAGAAACAGACACGGAGAACAAGAGCAGGACAGAACTCCCGGCTTCCTGGGCCCGGCTGCATTCTGCTCTTTCCTTTCCACAGCCAGTCATCCAGCCCCGCTCCTGGCTTCTCCTCTTTGCCTAAGCTGGTTGGAATTATGTTTCCTTGTCTGGAAATAAAATGAACACTCTATCCTTTAGCTCTAGCAAGAAAGCTGTAATCAAGGACGACCATTAAGC